GCTCACGTTGGAGCATCTCGTTCAGCTAAGATAACTCGAATATACTCTGACTTCATTCATTATGCCCAGGAGCCGCGTTGGGCAGCTTTCTCTCTCCCCAATTTAGTTCTAGAGAACATTTCTTTGTCGTGGGAAAAGAAGATTCAGGATTGAATTTGCGATGGAATGACTAAACAGGCACCCTGTACCTCTTTCCTGGCACCCCAAGGCTTTGGGACAACAAACAGCCCGAGATTTCTGATTACCAAACTCCCTGCAGTATCCCTTTGGAGTATCTGGAGGCAAAATAAAAAGGCAATCTTCAAGAATGTTCTTTGGAATCAAGGGACAAGTGCTTACACCTCACGACCGCCCCAGGCTCTGGAGGTGCCTTTGGAAGGCCGTCTCCGCAGGCTGCGCCGGCACGAGCGTCTCCTCACCACCCAGAACTTTCATTTCTATTAAGAGTAAAACACTCGGAGCAACTTCTCCAAAAGCGCGAGCTCTGTCGGCTAAGAGTAAAACTCGCCTTTCCCACACCGAGCCAAGCCCGTGGGAGAGGGGCCCCGTCCCCTCGCGTGTCGGAGCGCGGGGGTCCGCAATGACACCCGATTACCTCCGAAGGGGACAGTGTGCGCCGGCCAGTGGCGACGCCAGGCAGACGTGCCCAGTGGAGCCCCAGGCTCATTTCAATACAATAAGCCGCATTCCTACAACGATGCCCTTTCCTGAGCTCCTCCGGGCGCGCGTGCAGACTCCAGCCGCCGCTGCCCAGGCCCTCTTCCTCCCACGCTACCTCCCGGTCAGCCGGCTCCGAGTCACTCTTAGGTGTATTAACTTGGACCCGCCGGAGCCCCCGATTTTCAGCCCTAGTTAAAAGGCAGGCAAATTACCGCCGTTCGTCCCCGGGGCCGAAACTCCCCGCCGCCGCCGCCGCCGCCGCCGCCGCAGCGGAGAGCATCATTACCATGACAACTAGAGCCGAAATACCCTGAATTACGTCGCGGGAGCTGCGACTGCACCGATCCCGGTCCTGCTCTTTGTTAGAGGCTTTTCGCCCCTTCGGCTGGGGGGGCNNNCGGGTCCGCTACTGGGGAAAAGTTTCAGATGCGAGCCCACCCGCCGCTCCGCGGGAAAGCCGCAGCGAGGAGGTGAGCGGGGGGGGGAACCCCACACTCAAAGTTGTCCATTTAGGGAGCGACGCTTCCCAAGGTGCCAACTTTTTAGCAAGTCCCCCACTCAGCCGGGCACATCTCAGATACGTACTTGAGTGCTGTGGCGGTTCCGTCTTCAGAGCGAGTTTCTAGAGCGCTGCCCCGAAATCTGCGCCGGGGGAGTCACAGCTGCCTCCCGGAAGGGCTGCGGGGGACGGTCCGGCGGCTCCCAGAGGCGGCGAGCGGCTGGAGGGGC